TGGTCTGTTAAGCTTTCTCTGCCATGGCTGCTCTTACCCGTATACATCAGGCTTAGCGTTAAGTGATGAAGCATAAAACACTATTTAAATACTATAATTTCAAGAGCAAGCAAAGAACATTGCATTTATCTTCACTAACCTTGAATATGCCTGTCCCATCTAATGAAAAAAGTGATTGAAGGGACTTATTTTAGCTCACTATCCCAAGGACCCCATAAAAGCTGAATGGTAATTTAATTAGTTTCCTTTCTGGTGATTAACTAGGAATTTCTGATCATTTAATCTGAGTGCACTTTGATTCATTAAGTATCTGTTTCCATTTTTTTTATGAGGTTATTAAATAGTCCTGCCCAGGTAACCACAGTCATTGGTATGCAGGACCGCTAAGTGTTTTGTATGAATCAGATAGGAAATATGCATGATGTGAACTGGGTTTTCAAACCTATTCGGAACTCTCCTGACTAGATGATAAATTAGCAGTTAATTTATTCTGACAGAACTTGGAAACCGTGAGTCAGATCCTGCAATGAAGAAAACCGGTGCAGACCTGTGACTGCAGTTTTTACCTACTGCAAACGCGGCCCCTGCGTGATGCTACGTTAGGCACTTACAGCCTGACCCCAGGCAGGCAGAGGGTGACCAGCGTTCGCATCGAACCAGCGGTGAGGACTAATGCAAAACCGGAGCGACTAAAGCTCCAGGGATTCTTCCACCCGAGAATAGCGTGAGCAGGAGCTCTCCTGCTTCAGTGACATTTCTCCTGACCACAGCAAGTCACTCAGCCTCCTGATATATCATTTCCCCCTTCGGTAACAGGGAGGCAGTAACTGCTAGCCTAGCTCATAAAGGATGATTAAATAAATCTATTAAAGTGCTATGAAGACTTAGAGTGTTATATACTTAACTTTTTATTTAGATTTAAAGCATATTATAAAGACTGTACATGCTCTCCAGGCACCCATACAAAAAAGGAAACTTACAATCCCTTAAAATGTTGCTTGGCAGCATAATGTAATAAGAAAAGTTAAATTATCAGCCGGCTAATACTGCAGCAAAATATATTTCATCAACTCCACCAAAACTTTCCCCTTGCAGCTCTAACAAATAGCATGAATGAAAAGCATGTTGGAAGGCGGATGCGAAGGTCGGCTTCTCCTTTATCACGTAATTGAAAATAAAGAGAAAATGTAAGTATCTATATCAGACAAAAGATACCAGGCCAGATTTCTGAGCACAAATACACTGTGATTTATTTATAGCCATTATGCCAGAACAGTAAGATAGGATTTGGTTCCTTGTACAAAAATAAAAAAAAAAAAAACAGCGGCTGAACGGTACCTCAATTCTCTTTTCATTTGTTTTGATTCCCAGATAAGGTGGATATAAGGACGCCTGATCATCCTGAATGGATTCTAGGGACAAACTCTAAATATAGCAATACCCACACCTCCAGCACGGTACATGCCGCCCCTTGAAACCCAAACAGCAGCGCTCCGGTGAAGAACAAAAAATATTAACATCTATCCTCCCGCTTCTTCCAACGCTTATAATGCTCTCTCATACAACAACGGAGAAGTGCCTATACCAGCCTTCCACCATGCCCTGAAGGTCAACAGCTTTAAGCCCCTTGTATGAGCTGTTTGTCTGCATCTAGAACCCACAGCGAGCATGGGTAACCTCCCGAGCGCTGGAAGGCTGCTTGCCTCGGCTGCATTCCGGGCATGCAACAGCTCTGCACGAGGAGCGTGCTCTTCACCGCAACCTTGAGGAAAGTTTCATGCTTTTCCTTGTACTGAGGTTTTCATGGTTTCTGAGTCTGTACCTTGTAAGAAATGTTATACAGGTCACCAGGAGAAGCATACTACATATTCGCATTGGTATTTTACATTAATGGTGATAACGCATTCCAGTTTTAAGAATAAAGAAAGATTTTTAAGCACTGTAAAAATAGGGTAGAAACATGAAAATCCCAATTAGTGCGAAACCACCTAATAAATGCTGCCTTATTAATGATAAAGACTTTCAGGACTTAAAATTGGACCTAAAACTCATTTCACTAAGACTTTGACACACAGACAGAAGCTGTAAAATGGTACCCAAGGCATGCCCCAATGCTAACTGCCAGCCCTAGGCAGCCAAAAAGCAGGCACAAGGCTCTCTCCCAGCCCTCACAAATTCTAAGATTGCTTTAATTACCACAAGACGTTTTTATTCTTTTTAAATTAGTTATATTGTCTTTCTCTGTCTTTGAGATTCTAAGCCACCTCTTTTCCCACCCTCAACAACTGCAAGGAACAGAAACTCGATTTTATCTTTAAGTGGAAGCAAAACCACCCATATAACATCACATTTTACAGGACTATGACAAAATCTTTCAACTCTGACAGGTTAGGAATAATGCTGGGCTTTGGGACCTGGCTGATTTCACTTATTGCCAGCCCAGCCCTGCATCCCAGCAGGAGCCAGCTGCCTCCACAGGAGTGGTGCAGGATTTCACAAGCCCCATTTGTCACCCTTACCAATAATTAATCTATTTCTCTGCCTGAATTCATATCAAAGGCAACGGAGCAACTCAAGGAGAAAGGTGACAGCCTTACATCAACAGATCATGAAGCGCTTTCATTTTATTGAAACAGAGTTTCCTAAATCAAGGTCTCCCTCTTCGATGCTGGAAATGCAAGACAAATCTGCATGAGGCACAAAAGGAAAACTGACAACAAATAAGGAATGTGTCCTACTTCTAAAGCCTGATGTACAGCCCAACCTGCCAGCATAATTTCCCTTAAAACAATTCATTCTGTAACATTATTACTTGCCATGATGAAGAGGCAGAATTTTTTTATTTCAAAGGAAGCCTGGCTTTTTAATTATATTGAATGCTTTTCAGAGGATAATGTAAAAGGTGTTATAATTCTAATTGTGCATCAAGAAAAAGTGTCATGATAGTAAAGACGTATCAGTTGATATTCAGTAGAACAATACAAAGATGGGAGTGTGAAGGAAAGCCTGCAATTATTCAGTGTAAGCCGAGATAGTTAATCATTTAGTTGGACTGGAGAAAGATTGCTGTTTTGAATTTTAAAGCAAGTTACTGTCTATCTTTTTTGCAATATGTCATTTTGTGGGAAGGGAGCCACAAGTTATTATCATTGTCTCTGCAAATGAAGTTAAAAACAAGCACAAATCCAACCACATTCCCATAGCAAGTGTTAGCAGGTCATCAGCCGGATCTTCAAGGAAAGGCCCCAAGGATGAACCACACGTACCGACTGCATTCGCAGCTTACAGTGTGCACACTGATGCCGTGAGGACTAAGCAAGGGGGTAATATTCACAGGTTTATGAAGGGGATCATTGTATCCACTGAATTAAGTGCAGAACCAGCTGTTCTTGCTGACTGCCTCGAAAAGCCAAAATAAAACAAAATCCCTTGAGAGGCAGCAGTCGCAGCCTTTGCGAACAGGCAGTTTGCCTTTGCAGTTTTTGGGGAACAAGACAGTAGAAGGAGAACAAGAAACTAGAAACCACACAATATTAGATCTAGGCAGGCTCTGGTCCCAAAGCTGTGCTGTGTTCAGCAGAGGAATCCAAAGGTAGGTTCCAACACCAGCTGAAGGGAGACATAACCAGACTGCAATGGTTAAATGCGTTTGCCAGAGACGTAGACTTGCATGAAGGTGGCTTAGGACTGGTGTCTGCAGTAGAAAATGATACAGAGGTAAAATTATTACCACTGGGAAAGAAAAACTGTTGAGAAAATTGATTTAGAGTGGAAAGCAAACGACTCGCAAATCATGGCAGATGACTGCCTCCCATGCAACGGCCTATGTGGTCCAACCCTGCCACTGGAGCAAACAAACCCCAGCCTCTGCCATACCAGAATGAACACTAAGGAGTGCCATCACAGCTACACCAAGGTTCGTGCAGCTGACGACTCCCTGCGCAACGAGAAGATGCCCACATAGGAAGAATTTAGGAAAGATTCAATATCACAACGTATAAACTCAGCCTTTAAAAGAACGAGCCTCTTGTCTGAAGCAGCACTCCTCTGGATTAGCATTCCTGGTGGCACTGCACCCCGTGCCCTGGGACCACGGAGGAGTGCTGGGAGGAGACTGCAGAGAGCAGGTTAGAGGAACACAAGGTTTATTGCAATGGCTGGGGCCATTTGGCCGCTCTGCTCTGTGGACACTGTAAGAGAAACTCAAATTAAATCCAAATGTTCTACTAACCTCCCCAAAAGAGTCACCCATTACCAGCAGGGATTTCTCCTGAGCAGCTATACCATATCTGCATCATCACTCAGCATAAAGCTACTCAATTGGGAAAACACAATTTAAAGTGTGGGTGGGAAGAGAACATTATGTTGGTCCTTCCATGCTCAGGCACCATTTCCTTTGCATTTATACATGCACACAGCAAATAGCATTACACATAGCATGCCCAAACTGCACACATAGACTGACTACCCACGGAGAAGGATTTCCGTTTGTATTAATAGCAGTGTCTCTTGTGAAGCTCCTGCCGAAGCACACGGCTGGGCTCAGGCCAACGGAGGGAGCCTCTAGGAACAGTGCTGCTATAAATGATATTTCAGAATACCCCAGTATGAAGTTAGATGAGGATACAGCAGGAGAAGATGAAGACGAGAAAGAAATTACAACAGGGATGCATTGTTCCACAACCCATAAATCCCTTTTGGGTCATAGTCCACTTGCTGTTACCGTATGCACATTACTGGAATACACGTGAGAAAACGCAGGAAAAAGATTAAAATGTTCAATCATTTGCAAACACTCCCCAGATGAATATGAGTATGTGTTGGAAGAACAGTTCTAATACAAAACACTCCACTGCGGTCTAATCTTGCTGGAAACACAAAATGAATTATGTGGATGAATGCATCTGGGGGTTTATCCAGCTAAGGAAGCGCATTCCCATAGCTGGCCCATGCAGGCTCACATCCCAGCCTCTGTCAGCTCCAGCCTGGTCTGGCGGTACCTGCGGCATCAGAGGTGCCCGGGTGCCACGCATGGCACTCCGCATGGTCCAACAGGGCTTGGAGGGACAACCTACCCCAACAGCCAAACCACAGCCAAAATTGACTTAGGCTGTCATCGGTCACCACCTGATGACACCATGGAACATACAGGACTCCATGTGGCCACAGGACATCAGAGATGCCACACGTGTCTGGTGACTGTGGTCACCTAGCAAGATCTGGTTATGGTGGGATGGTGATGGAGAGGCAGTTTTGCCATAAGATATTTTTTGCCAAAAAAAATACATAATCTGTCAGAGAGCACGTTTCGTTAGCGTGGTGGCATCTTGTACAACGTTTATCCTCTTGTGCAGCTTTAATGAACAGAAAAGTAATTTCAAAGCTGTGTATGCAAAATTGTGTCACCAACCTGTGATTGCCCGGGCAAATTTCAGCAAGGAAATGCTCAGTCTCTTACCTAAGCACCCCGACTCACTCCCATATCTCCAACCATTACAGAAATAACCCGCAGGGGAAACAGGGAGAGACTCAAACCCCAAAGAATTAGGGCATGAGACCCTTTTCTGTTTCTCCTTTGAACACCTTTGTTGTTGATATTTTTGAGAAGAGGTTTTAGTCTAAGGATCAAACTAATACTAGACAAAATACAGCCTATCATATGTAAACATTACTTGTTTGATTTCATTATAGATAAGAAGTTTGCGTTAAAACTGTGGAAAAGCCTTGCCTGACTCGTGCAGGATGAAACAGCTAATGCGGCTTTAACTGAAACCCTCCTGTTTGATGGGAGCAATATCATGAAGATGGATGATAAAACGCTGAGGCTTTGTGGGAAGCTGACTGATGGGTTCTGTGAGCACGTACATTTTAGGATAATTTCTTTCATGGATAGCACATCATTGACATACTAAAATCTGTATATTTCCATTATTTTATGCTGGTTTTTTACTTCACCTGTGCTCCTACAAAGCAAATCCATACTACACTGTTATGTAACATTATAGATTGATTTTTTTTTTTTTTACTCAATTTTTTTCTATTGTATTTAAAAAAAAAATTATCTGGGAACAAAACAACTTGCAAAATCCCACCTGCTGCAGCCTGTAAGATCCCTGGTCAGAAATACTAACCCATACCCGGTGTGGAACATCTGTACCATGGCCCCCATGGCCTGCTCTGAAGGGCCCCCTCAGCTCAGCCATGCATCGCTCCACGGGGTAAGACACCATTTCTAAGGCCTGAATTCTTCAGCTGCAAAATCTGGCCCTGCTGTGGCCAGGTTACCAAACAGGAATTGCAGTTTGCAAGCCCCAGCGCATGGGAAACAGGCAGTTCACATCCTTCTAAGCAGAGTTTGTGTGTTTTATCCCTGCGTGAACAACGCCTTGCCCAAACAGCCGCTCTTGCCTGCACGGTCCTTCCCAAGTGGCCCTATCTGCAAAGCACACACCCTCTGCATTTCCATCCCCCATGAAGCTACAGCAGCATTACCGTTGCAGCATTAATGTTAGCAGAAATTATATCTGCCAGCAGCAATTCCTCCATTTTTCACCCAGGCTGGGCTGCAGGACTTCTTGGGCAGAGCTGTGCCTCCACTCGAGCTCAGCCACAGCCACACTCTGCTGGAGAGCATATCCTGAACTGATATGAAAAGTGTTTGATAGTGCTCCGTAAAAAGTCCCCATTAGCAGTCTAATGAAAAAATGTGGGTACACTTAAACACTGACATTATCAAAAGCTAAATTAATAAGAAGGGAAAAAACATAATCGGCGTTCCTTCAGAAAATTCTGCACTGAAAACCTTTTGCAGTGCCGTGAGTGAAAAATTTCCACCTATATTAACTCATTTCATGTCCATTGATTTTTATTTTACCAGTTGGAAAGCAACCATCCTACACTTCTGCTTACCACCTTTCAAATAATCTCCAATTGCTGGACATATCTTAAGAAAGGTATTTGTTTTGTTTGTACTCATGAAGCATTGCTACTTTTCCCTGAAATTTTATTGCTCTGTAAATGAGGATCCAATGCCAAAAATCTGCTTTTATTTTCACTGTGACAGAGGTGAAACAACAGTGGTAATAAAGCCAACAGCAAGGCACTCACCCGTTCTCATTTTCCATAGAGAAACACTTAATAGTGTCTCTTTAAAAGCTTTCCTTACTGATAGCTTTACTGATCAGATGATTTTTTTTACTAATTTCCTGGGATGAGACATGGAAAGTTTGTAGAGGCCGTTCCCTCAAACGATGGAGAAATCACAGTCACAAGCTGCCTGCAACACTCCGCGCTGTAACCAACGGCACGGCCTGCGCTGGGCAGAGCAGTCCCAGTCCCAGAGCCAAGCAACTGATGAAATCCCAATAAACCGTGCCTGCTGCCTGAAGAGCTGTGGGAATTGCGTATTTGGAGACACCAAACAGAAAAATCAAGAGATTAGTACTTATTTTCCCACCTTGGTCGTACAGCTTACATCAGGCATTGATAGTGCACACCTAACATTTTTTCTTGTGGTCGTGAGGACCAGAGACAAAACATCCATGAGACATCCAAATCTCCTCCTGAGCCCAAAGACATTACCGCAGGAGTGCCCAGGGCGTTGCATTCCAGGGCTAGCAGGATATTGATAATCTTTTCCCTTACAAGAAATGTTAATGTAACACTATGGCATCTAGAAAATTAACAAAGATGCACAAAACCTCCTTCAATTAAATCCCACCAGACTGAAAAGGTCACTTCCCTCCACGTGCTTTTCCTTTTTGTCTCGAGAGAGAGGAATGGGAGTGGCAAACGAATAAGCTAAATTAAAAACTCTTAAAGTTTACATTGCATAACTTTTTCCTGGTGACTGCCAACACACACCAATACTTGCTTTTCAGATCAACCCTTGACAGAAGCAGCCAGCGCTGTTCCTGTTGTTACACCAAACCAAAGCCACCTTAAAGCATCTTTCTTCCAGACTTTTGGAAAACTTATGGTACTGTCATATCTTTACCATTTCTATGTTAAGGGATGCAGTGAATTTAAATTATCTAAACCACATCTGTTTAATCATAGATGCCTTTTTAAAGATTTGTTAGCTTGAAATATCATTTCAGCTTTTCTGCTGTTTTTTTCCCCCCATTCTCCCACACACAGTATGCCAGCAAGAATAACATCTTCCCACACTTTGGAGGGACACAGCACAAGACCTGCTACACACTCATCTTCAAATACAGAGATAAAGTCTAGCAAAAGGCTTGTGAGACAGGTTTGCGTTGGTTTTGTTTGCTGCGCAGCAAGTAAACATGATTCACATACTGGAGAGCCCAGAAAATGGGCTGATCATCAAGACCAGGTTGTAGTGGCATCCACAGCCTTGAGATTTTATAACAACATCTCCAAATTTGGGAATGCTACTTTAAGAAATGTGATGGATATGCAGGAAACAACTTTCTTCAGCTCTTTTACGGAATTACTTGATTTGTACCTATGAAACTGCTTGCTCATTAAACCAACTGCTGTGTATTTAAAAGTAAGAGAATATAGAATTGTACCTTCTCTCTAAAGGAGTGCCACCACAGACTGAAAAAAACAGAGAGAGATTGCAGAGCTTTAGCAGAGAAAAGGAACCTCAAACCCAGCTCTTTCCATGGCACCCACAGCCTGGATTGTGTACCCATATTGTGTACTGATGTATTGCATATCTTTAGAATTATTTTTCCCACAATTCCTATTACTATCATTATTCTTACTATTCCCATCACTATCATTATTACTACTACTATTACTTAAAACCACTAAAACCCACATTTCTCAAGGCAATTTCCCTTCTCAGCTGAGGGAGAGACAAAAAGATTTTCCTCTCCGTCAGAGTGCCAGAAAAGCTTTTCAACGTGACTCTGATATGAAACTTGCTGCCCCTCAGAAGCACTTACCAGCCTCAATTCATACAGGGTTGGGATTTTTTTAAAGACATTTCCCTGGTTAGCAGCCTCTTGCCCTGAAAGCCAGGCGGACGCGGACGACGCTTGCTCTGCAATCATCCCAGACACAGCTAAGTCAGGGGATGCAAAACTAAATGTGGCTGAGAGTCGCCATGCTGGTAGCTGTAATTGTAACCTGAAGTGATATACACAGATTGCAAAATGTAGCACCGGATACAAACCAGCACTGATTCCCTAAGAATCTGAGGAAATAAAGGAAAACTAAAATATATGAAGTAATGAATTTTAAAGCTGACAGCTTTTTTTTTTTTTACCTCCAGTTTCAGTGGGTGTCAAACTCCTTACAACATTGTTACTTAAAAATCTCTTTTCAGCCAAAAGCAAGGTTTTTATAGCCTCTTACTGGATATTACTTGTGTGTCACACAAGGCAGTAAACTAAAGCTTTGCTCTATAGCATCAGTAGTTACTTGATTCTTCACTTTTTTCCAAAAATGTCGTAGTGGCACTTTCCCAAAATCTTCTTCTGTCTAATAATACCATCATAGATTTGCCTTCTGCTTTCCAAAGCAATGAAATGCAGAACTACATCTCGCTGGGTACCCGCAGAAAGTGCTGCTTCTCTACAAGCCAGTTTTTTTTTGCTTTTCTACGGCACTTCAGCATCTATTTCAGCAGCACCCAGAGTGCACCAGGTTTCTCATACCACCCGACCGCCTTAATCAAACCTGTGCTCAGAATAAACACCAGAACCCCAGAAACATCCCTGTGTGGAACAAAATTGAATTATCTATTGGGCAGGAAAAAAAAAAATTAAATTGAACAATGAAAGTGCCATTTCTAGCAGATAAATGCTGATCCCAGCACATCGGGGCTGGGCGGGCACCTGGCTCCAGCAAGGATCCCGGCAGACGCATGGCTGGGGGTACCCCGAGCACATTAAATCCAGATTCCCCAACGCAGCACCAACAGAACATCAAAATCCTTAATTTCCAATGCATTTGATGAGTAGGTATTTCAGGCCACTGGAGCTTTTTCCTCAGTCTTACTCCTTCACATTAACACTCCCAGGGATATAGTTACAGTACTAAAATGTCATTTCTAACAAGTTGATATTAT